CTGATGATGAGTTCAGACAGTGGTAAGTGTCATGAGGACCACAAAGTCAGGCAAGGACCAGCGTGGTGGCTGTGCTGTCCTCCAAGACAGCCAGCCACAGGAGCTCACTTAAACTGAAGTCTAAATTATTGAAATGAAACGAGACAAGAATGCTGCTCTTGAGTTCACTCCATCTGCATGCCCAGTGCTAACAACCACACGAGGCTAGTGGCTGGTGGCATGGGTACAGGACACTTGCACCCTTGCAGAATTAATGGCAAAGAACTAAGAGAAACAGGGCCAATGCAAACCAGGCGGCCGGAAGGCCTGTCTGAGGAGGAGCCTTGAGTAGGAGTCTGAAAATGAGAAGAAACCAGCAGCTGACTGGCAGGGGGCGGAGTCTGGGTGAAGGGGGTGGTTTGGATAAGAACGGTCCCCATTGGCTCATATATTTGAGTGCCGGGTCATCTGGATGTGACACTACTTGAGAGGGATTAAGAGGTGTGGCCTCATTGGAGGAAGTGTGTCACTGGAGGTGGGCTCTGGGCTTTCAAAAGCCCAAGGTAGTGCCAGTGTCTCCCTCTCTTCTTGCTGCCTGTGGATCCAGATGGAGAACGCCCAGCTCCTTCTCCAGCACCATGTCTGTCTGCCTGCACCGTGCTCCCTGCCAGGATGATGATGGACTAAACCTTTGAGACTGTAAGCCAGCCCCAATTTAATGCTTTCCTTTGTAATCACAACAGTGGAACACTGACTGAGACAAGGGGGCAGCGACGACAGGCAGGCACGTCCAGACTCTGCACAGAGAAATGTAAGAATACGTTTGGCAAAGTTGAGGAAGAGAAATATTGGCATGTGTTGAAGTGTGACCTTGGGGTAAGAGGGGCAGCAGCAGCAATGAAGTCAAAAGTAGTAAGTAGAGGTGACAGCCGTGCTCACCGCGTGACAGCGGGATCATCGAGGTGGGTACTACTATCAAGTAAACGAGAGCCAGCAGACCCAGAGGACAGACTACCAAAGCTGCACAGCCAGTGAGGGAACAGACTGGAATCCAGAGAGGGGTAGAACCACGTCAGTCAGGGACTACCTGTCTATCTGAGGCAATGCCTACCCTGGCTCTAGCTAGCAGTTCCTCAGTCTGTTTTCCTTTTCAACTTTTGGCTTATTGCTTTGTTTATGAAAGGGTGTCTGTCACTCAGCAGCCCCAACTGGCCTCAGACTTACAGTCCAGTATTGGTGAAATTATTAAGGCAACTCCACATAGTTAAAAGGGAGGTTTATTTTGTGGGGTAACTCACAAATGAAGGGATAAGTAACAGGGTCTGGGAAAGGTGAAGCGCAGTCCGGCGGCGTTCTCTGGAGAACTCTGCTCGGTCTACCTCCAGCGTCCAGGGTCCAGGAACCAAGAGAGCCGGCCCATCCGCATCTCAGGCCTTCAGGGCCCTCTCTCGGCCCCGCCTTGTAGGAGTGACAATTACCAAAGCCTCAATAGGGGTTGGAACTTCCAGATCAAAGCTGGAATGGCTACCCACTACAGTCCAGACATTGAACTTTTGTTTTTCATCATTTACTTATCTTCAAAGACTACGGAAAAATAAACAATTTATAACTTCTACGAAAGCACATGCACATACCTCTAAGAGTTGGTTACTCCAAACTCAATGCCTACAACCCGACTTTCCAGTCATTGCACAGGACCATTTCAACCCAGTCTTACCTTGTTTGGATTTAAAGCACCATTCTTACAGTCTTTAAATGGCTATGAAATCGAGCCAAGTGTCTCCCGGCTGAGAAGTCTGACTTGAGTTGGTTCTGG